AACTCCTACTTAGATAGACATCCCTCTAGTCATCTAAATGATCATGTGATCCATGTCAACTAAATCATGTCTGATCATCACGTGAAATGGAGTAGTTTTCAATGGTGAGCATCTCTATGTTGATCATATCTACTATATGATTCACGTTCAAACTTTCGGTCTCCATGTTCTGAGGCCATATCTGCATATGCTAGGCTCGTCAAGTTTAACCCGAGTATTCTACACGTGCAAAACTGTCTTGCACCCGTTGTATGTGAACGTAGAGCTTATCACACCCGATCATCACGTGGTGTCTCGGCACGACGAACTGTAGCAACGGTGCATACTTAGGGAGAACACTTATACCTTGAAATTTAGTGAGGGATCATCTTATAATGCTACCGCCATACTAAGCAAAATAAGATGCATAAAAAGATAAACATCACATGCAATCAAAATATGTGACATAATATGGCCATCATCATCTTGTGCCTTTGATCTCCATCTCCAAAGCACCATCATGATCTCCATCATCACTGGCTTGACACCTTGATCTCCATCATAGCATCATTGTCGTCTCACCAACTATTGCTTCTATGACTATCGCTACCGCATAGTGATAAAGTAAAGGAATTACATAATGATTGCATTTCATACAATAAAGCGACAACCATAAGGCTCCTCCCAGTTGCTGATAACTTCTACAAAACATGATCATCTCATACAATAACTTATATCACATCATGTCTTGGCCATATCACATCACAACATGCCCCGCAAAAACAAGTTAGACGTCCTCTACTTTGTTGTTGCAAGCTTTACGTGGCTGCTACGGGTTTATAGCAAGAACCGTTCTTACCCACGCATCAAAACCACAATGATTTTTCGTCAAGTGTGTTGTTTTAACCTTCAACAAGGACCGACCGCAGTCAAATTCGATTCAACTAAAGTTGGAGAAACATACACCCGCCAGCCACCTTTATGCAAAACAAGTTGCATGTCTGTCGGTGGAACCGGTCTCATGAACGTGATCATGTAAGGTTGATCTGGGCCGCTTCATCCAACAATACCGCACAATCAAAATAAGATGTTGGTGGTAAGCAGTATGACTATTATCGCCCACAACTCTTTGTGTTCTACTCGTGCATATCATCTACGCATAGACTTGGCTCTGGTACCACTGTTGGAGAACGTAGCATGCAATTTCAAAAGAATTCCTACGATCACGCAAGATCTATATAGGAGATGCATAGCAACGAGAGGGGGAGAATGTGTCCATGTACCCTCGTATACCGAAAGCGAAAGTGTTAGGTTAACGCGGTTGATGTAGTCGAACGTCTTCACGATCCAACCGATCAAGTACCGAATGTACGGCACCTCCAAGTTCAGCACACCTTCAGCTCGATGACGTCCCTCGAACTCTTGATCCAGCAGAGGGTCGAGGGAGAGTTTCGTCAGCACAACAGCATGGTGACGGTGATGGTGATGTGATCCGTGCAGGGTTTTGCCTAAGCACTACGTGAATATAACCGAAGGAGTAAATTGTGAAGAGAGAAGTCGCACATGGCTTGGAACAATTGGTGTGTCTCAAAGGGGTGCCCTTGGAGGGGGGAAAGGGGGAAGAAGGAAGAAGAGAAGAAGGAAAGGGGGGCGCGCCCCCTCCCCTAGTCCAATTCCGACTCCCTATGGGAGGGGGGCGTGGCCACCCCTTGTGGGCTGCCTCCCCTCTCCCCTATGGCCCATGTAGGCCCAATACTTCCCCGGGGGGTTCCGATAACCCCTCGGTTCTCCGATAAATATCTGAAATGTCCTGAAACCATTCCGGTGTCCGAATACCTTCGTCCAATATATCAATCTTCACCTCTCAATCATTTCGAGACTCCTCGTCATGTCCGTGATCTCATCCGGAACTCCGAACAATCTTCGGTCACCAAAACACATAACTCATAATACAAATCGTCATCGAACGTTAAGCGTGCGGACCCTACGGGTTCGAGAACTATGTAGACATGACCGAGACACATCTCCGGTCAATAACCAATAGTGGAACCTGGATGCTCATATTGGTTCCTACATATTCTACGAAGATCTTTATCGGTCAAACCACAATGACAACATACATTATTCCCTTTGTCATCGGTATGTTACTTTCCCGAGATCCGATCGTCGGTATCCTCATACCTAGTTCAATCTCGTTACTGGCAAGTCCCTTTACCCATTCTATAATGCATCATCCCGCAACTAACTCATTAGTCACATTGCTTGCAAGGCTTATAGTGATGTGCATTACCGAGAGGGCCCAGAGATGCCTCTCTGATACTCGGAGTGACAAACCCTAATCTTGATCTATGCCAACCCAACAAACACCTTCGGAGACACCTGTAGACCATCTTTATAATCACCCAGTTACGTTGTCGCGTTTCATAGCACACAAGGTGTTCCTCCGGTATCCGGGAGTTGCATAATCTCATAGTGAGAGGAATATGTATAAGTCATAAAGAAAGCAATATCATTAAAACTTAACGATCATTATGCTAAGCTAACAGATGGGTCTTGTCCATCACATCATTCTCTAATGATGTGATCCCGTTCATCAAATGACAACACATGTCTATGGTCAGGAAACTTAACCATCTTTGATTAACGAGCTAGTCAAGTAGAGGCATATTAGGGACACTCTGTTTTGTCTACGTATTCACACATGTACTAAGTTTCCGGTTAATACAATTCTAGCATGAATAATAAACATTTATCATGATATAAGGAAATATAAATAACAACTTTATCTTTGATTAACGAGCTAGTCAAGTGGATGCATTGAACTCGAATTTAGCCGATAACATAGAATAAATCGGGGGCAACTTTCCAATTAAAAAAGATATTTCTTTTTTGTTTATATCTGATTATGCACTGGAAGCTACTACCACGATATCTTTTCGATCATGCACTTCAGAGCTATCTCCAACATTTGAAGATGTTTAAAGCATATATGATACACAAATATATATATATATTGGAGTGTCTATTTCTTAGTAGATGTTGCTTCTTTATCCGCTAATTTATTTAGTTCAATTTTGTTTTTGAAAACAACTGTCAATTAAATGACTACACATTGTAAAACTTATGTGTCATTTCATATTCACATTTCATTTCTAGAGTTAAAGTTCCATGATTTTTTTCCATTGTCTGTCTTTTACTTTAGTTAATACAACTTATGTGACACTACAATCATGATTATGTGCAACTCGTTCAACTACACACACTACAGTTCGGTCTTCTTTTATTCTAATTCTCACATAAAAGGATTTCGTTTTCAAGAAATGATAAGTTTAAGGAGTATTACCTAGAAAGTTACCAAAAAAGATAGTTAAAAAATTCATATTAAACAGCGGGATTTTCTTCTCTTTGAGGAAAAGAGTAAATAAATACATACTAAATTGGGGAAATGACTATCCTATTAATTATGCTATCTAGGCAATAGAAAAAAATATTCTAATTATATTGTGATTCGATAAAAAAATATAGAATTAAAAAGTAAAAATGTTTACTATAAATTTTTTAGTATTTAAGTCAACGCAACGGATTAAAACATAAGATAAGAAAGAAAGAAGTCCATATTACAACAAAAACACTAATGTGAGCCCGAGTTATGGTGATCCCGGAATCTGTACTATACATATATCTCGTGATCAGTGCAGCAGGAGGTCTAGCTACAGACGTATTCCTAGTTCGTCTAACAGAAAATGACCCACTGGTCAGTTAACTCCGTCAGTTAACGTTATCACAGATCAGACAGAGATGGACAACTTGGGCCGTTATGTCTGACAGAGCCTCGTAGCTCATTTATGATAGCCCATTTTTTCAGCTATCAATCATCTTCAGTACTACTCCTCTTCTTTCTTATACTTGCTAGTTCGAAGTTTGAATCAAGTAGAGCCACTTCCACCACTCTCAATGATTTCATCCAGCATTTTCTGCATTGTTGTTTTCTGTCGGCCTGGAGCAACTATCGCCACTCATCCCTTGCCCTGAGTGGGTCGGTTGCGTCTTCACCTAGATTACTTCCAGTTATAGCGGGTCTCACGTCATGCTGCCACGCCTAGTTACCGCCTTAGGCGTACACAACACTGTATTTGCAACGTCAAACCAAGTTTTTGAACCACATAAATGTGCACCTCAAGTTTTATCACTAAATTGACCATTTATTCTAAATTATAACACCAGTGGTGTAATTGACACTAATTTTTTTATTTTCATTTGGCACTAAGAACAAAATTTGTTTCATCCGTTGCTCCAGCCTCCAGGGATGGTGCCGATCCAGCCTCCAGGGTGGTGTCGATCTGAGTTAACCACATGGTCATGTTACTGAGGTAAATTATCGGGGGCTTTTCACGGGTACATGGTCATGTTACTGAGGTAAATTATCGGGGGCTTTTCACGGGTACACTGGCAGATGGATATATTTTTTTGGCAAAAAGGGTGTCAAAAAAATGAATCCCCGTCACCTTATATCTGAAAAGTTTCAAAACAAAATGACTTTTTAAGCCATATACAGTACGTGGAAAAAGGTAAGAGCATGGATGATGCATACATTACATATATGGAAAAGATAGCCGTGGATGATGCATTCAGTACACGAATGAATCGTACTATCAACGACCACACAAACACCATACCACCTCAAGCATCCGGCTTCCAGCACTGAGAGAGAAGTGAGAACCACAGCATCTTACAGTGGTTGTCAGTAAAACACTTTCAGTAGGAATGCAAGTTGACAATTTTTCGGACTAGCAAACTACTCCTGATTGTAAAACTGCATCTTCTAACACCCTGCTGGAAAGGGGAACCGACGCTTCCGTTATTGTGTTTCGATTTTTACCGCTAACTATATGCCTTCACTCATGATGAGGCTGAATCAATCAGACATACATTTTTTGCAAATGAATGGTGTGATACCGGCCTTGTGTTTAGAACCTGTGCGATGCCGAGGGAAGAGAATGATAGCTGCTTTGATTGGCCAGTCACCCTGAACCTGAAACCCATAAGCCAAAATGGTGAGAAGAGAACTGAAAACTGAAGAGAAAACAAGATAAGTTACATGCAGTTCTCCTGCACCGTGCACGGTTCGAAAGAGAAAAAAGAGAGTCAGGATGTCAGCAGACCGTACAACATGCTGCTTTTCATAAGATAAAAGGAAAATCGGTCTTGTAACTAAATAAGCCCGCCTAAATTTTGAGAATGTATGTGTCGACCCTGGTAGGCGACTCATGGCAGCAGGTTCATATCATCCAAAGATTAAGTTCTATAACTGTCCATCGTCTCACAGGGTCGAGGTTTTTATAGCATATAGTACCACTAGACCTGTGATCCATTTAACGAGGAGATTATAGTTTAGCCCCTGCATTACCACAGTTCCTGAATTCTACTATACAGTCTTGCAATGGAACTAAATATTACTCCCTCCGTTCCAAAATAGATGACCCAACTTTGTACTATTAGTACAAAGTTGGGTCATCTATTTTGGAACGAAGGAAGTACAAGCTTGCGTTATATGTTAACAATCAAGCCGTGCTGCCTACAAGTTAAGAAAATCCGATCCTAGTATCGTGTCTGCACTTATGTCAGTAAGCAGATACTCAAAATACCACCAATATTGGGTTCTTCTAGCAGAGGGGCTGACGCTACTTCTTATACCAAGATTTTAGTTCTCACATGTAGTTTTTCTCTTTGTGTTTGCCAAGAAAACAACCCAAATGGAGTCATACATAGCAGCACACCGCGGACAGCATTTAGCCTCAGCCAAATGGTAGAACAATGCTGTAGAATGAGATGGTAGGTTTTATAGGAAGGAAAGGCTTCAGAAGTTCAGCCGTTCCACAGAAATGTACAGTATTTCAGTATCAGTCAAGCTCATAAAGTGTCCTAACCATCACAGTAAAGCTGCTTTGGTACATCTGAAGCAAAAATTAAAGTGAATTCGGAGATCCTCCGTTCCTAGTAGCTACTAGTACCATATTAGTGCAAGGATAACCTCATGCTGCAATTTCCCATTCTATCAGTGATGTTTTTCCAGGACCAGATAGAAAAGGAACTCCAGCCATAGCATGATTGCGGCAATTGACTGACAGCGATAGAGTGTAAGATGAAGCCCGAAATGCACTTCTGCATATCCATACTTCACACCATACACTACTTAGGATGTTCTTGCAGCACTGAATATAATCAGTGCGGCTGCAATCTTACTGGTAAGTTGGATGTAAGTTGGGACTAACCATTTTCGCCTTTCTTGGCAAGCGTGTCCGCTTGAGACGAGCTGCCGCCATTCCTGCTGCCTACGCACTCCTTGAGCCGCTTGGCGAAGAGCCTGGCGATCTGCAGCTGCGTCTTGGCCATGATCTCCGTCCTCCTCAGCTCCATCTCGCCCTTCTTCACCTCGGCCTCGGCCCTCATCCGCTCCGTGTCCCGGTACACCTCCAGCCTGGCCCGCTCGATCTTCACGAACGAGCTCGCCAGCAGCTCGATGCTCCTCGCGACGTCCAGCTCCGGGCTCTTCCTCTTTCTCGGCGTGTCCACCTCCTCGGCGCCGTCGTCGTTCACCCCCACCTCCACCTCCTTGCTCCGCGGAGAGCTCACATTTGCGGCGTCGCTGTCAGCCGCCCTGCCGCTCTCCTTGTGCGTGGCCAGATCGACGGTCTTCTCGGCCTTCACCGTCGCGGAGCCGTTGGCGTCTGTGCTCAGTAGCTCGGAGAGCGCCCCGGGCGGCCCTGCTGTGTCCGGCGGCTGCTGGAGGGCGGTGTCTGCTTCGGCGTCGACCTCTGGCTCTGCTTTCAGGGGGGCTCGCGGCTGGACGATGCCATCGTAGCTCGGCTCCGGTTGCGCCTGCGGCTGGCCAGAGCAGCCGGCGGCCGGGCCCTTGAGCAGCCCGTCCATGCGGCCGAAGAAGCGCCAGGACGGGCCACCGGAGGCGCTGGCCACCCCAGCTGATCCGGCCCGCGTTGCGGCGGCGGACTCGGCCCGGTAGCGCTTCTTCATGGACTCGACCTTGTTCTTGCACTGGTTGGGGGTCTTGGCGGTGCCCCCGGCAGCGGCGCCGGGCTTGGAGGCCGCATGGCCGGAGGAGGAGCAGTGGGCGGAGACGTCGTGGGCGATGTCGACCCAGTCGCTCCACTTGAGCTTGGCCCGGTTGCGGAGCAGCCACTTGGCCTCGTAGGCCTCGAGCAGGCGCGAGATGCCGCTCTCGCTCCACTCGTCGCGCTTCGGCTGCTGCTGCTGCGGCGTCGGCGCGGGCGGCGCCGCCCCGTCGGGGAGGCTGTCCATCAAGGCCGCAGCAGAGCAGGGAAGGACGGAACCACAAAGCTGGAACAGAGCTTATGCAGAGGCAGGGGGCAGTTGGACCGAGACCGTCTGACTCTGTCGGCGAGAAGATCCCCCTCCGGCTCGGGGATCTGCCCCTTAAGCTCAAAACCGGTTCACCAGAGCTTTAATTCCACTCGATTCTCGAAGCCGGAAGCCTACCGCGTGAGCGATCAGGGGAAGATGGTGTGTCCCTGAAGCTGGGATCGGAAAAGATGGCGCCTTTTCCTCCCCTTTTCCCAGGGGTAGCGAAAGAGGGAATTTCGGGAGGAGCTAACTTCCCAGATGGAGCAGAAAGGGCAGGCCGGCGGTTATGATGCGGCAGCGGGTGCCGTGTCTTTGCCGGACGAACAGCTGCGTTCAAAGCAGGCGCTGTGTCCCTCGTAACCCCATGGCTAGCCGCGATCAGGGGGGGAAGAGAAGCAAGAAAGAGCTTGGAGCGGTCAAAAGACAGTGGGGGAGAGGGCGCGGCGTCGTGGAGAAGAGTCAAGGCCTAGGCCGCGGCGGCAGCGGCGGCAGGGCGAGGGAATTTGGTTGGAGCTCGGAAAGAAAAGGGAGGGTGGCGGCCGGGGCCGGG